TCTGCATGGGATATCAAGCGCTGATGCATCTTTGTTTGGCAATTTCGAAGAAAAAGGATGCTGACGTGATTGCCAGTGGCCAGTCGTCTCAGGCAAATCGCCCCTATCCTTTACCTTCGAACTAGCCGTAACATCGAAACAGCAGACAGCTGCACTAAGCGCATTATAGCTCATGATCGGAGTCCTTCATTTGCAAAGCACAGGCTCATCTTTGACTTCGTTCAACCATAGCAACATGTGCGAGGGAAGAAATTATTTGGACGTAATCGAAGCATTCTCAGAAGAGAGCTCATTATTCCACCGCACTTGCTGCTTTGAGCGCCTCCTTTTCTGTTATCATTGCGTTATAGCATAGCACTCAACTCAGCAACTCCACTAGTTCTTGCTTGGAACAGGTTGTTCACTTAATTATTGATTTGTGTAACCATTTTATGCTTGCCTTCCAATTTGAAGAATATGGAACTAAATTTTTATGATAATAATAAATATAATGTATTACTGTACAGAGAAAGTGTGATCCGAGTAGAGGCCTGAACGTTGAACATGGTGCAATTACTATACAGATTCATTATTTCATCCATCACCCACATTCAATTTTTTGCTGGCGTCCCGATAATCATCGATTTTCTCGAGCGGGCTCAGGTAATGCCTTCATTCGTCTCTGTGCGAGCCAGAATAGTACAGAAGATCATCCACCTTTCGCTCGAGTAACCCGAATAATAGCCTTTCTTTCGTTCAGAGCTTTCGTGAAGAAGTCTGGCCATCGTGCATGTGGCTGTTCTTGGGTTCCTTGACGTCCCAAGAAATCCAATCAGTAACCGCCCCAGTCCAACGGCCATAGCAATATCGAATAACTTGTCTGGCCCAAGTCATTTTCAAATTCTTGGCATAAGAACTAGCGTCCTTCATCTTCCGTCGTTGACGGAACTAGGAGCTTCGGGTTCCCTTCTGCATTTGTAGTATGGGGAGATGCCGGATGCCCGCATTTCTCTTCGAATTCCCGAAGCAAGCCACAGTGGTTTCGCGGTGGTTTCCGTCGGAGATTTCGACCTTTCCCTTCATGGCGCGCAAGTGCGCGCGATCGGGTGCAGGGAGATTGTCAGAGGAAGGTGCACGTGCCCTAAAATTCCGAGCATCGCCCTTTACATAATTTGTTCAATGACTGTAGGACTGTAGAGTCCAACTCTACGAGGCATGTGTCAAAGCACAGAGGACCGCAGCGTCGAAAAGGTAAGCGCAGAACCGACGTCCTCTTTCTCCCTTACTGCTTTCGCGATGATCTTAAATGTTTCTCACACCACGCATTCCCTTCTGGTCAGCTCCAGAATTACGCCATTCGCTAATGAATTCTCGACCGACACAATTGTAGCGAGAGCATTCAGAAACATTCGCTCTTTTTAGGGTAAAGGGAGTACTGCCAATCCGTTCCTCTTGAAGATCTTCTTTGTGAACTTTGATCTTACCTTGTCTTTTCCAAGCCCTGTCGAATCCGGCCAGCAATCGTTCGCCTGCTCGATGTCCGGTTTACAAGCATCGAAGATAGAATGGGTGCTTATAGAGTAGAGCAGAGCGCTAAGCGTATCGACGCCTGTAGACCACGTTAGCCTCCGCTAACCGCCGGTCTTTGCGTCGGAGCATGCTTTTTTCAAACTTTCATAATGATACACTTTCATCATATTGCATCATAGAAGTCAAAGAAGAAAATAGCAAGTCCTTAACCTGTATCCTCCCGTTGCCCTTCAATTTCCTCGGGCGGGTGGCAGAAAGATCTCCCTTCGTTCATGTCACGAGCCAACGTGGTCCAGAGGATCGTCCACACTTGAGGGACACGAGGCGGAGCATTTCTTTCGTTCACAGCTTTCGTGAAGAAGTCTGACCACCACGGTGGCGTGCGTCCCGCTGTTCGTTTGACGTCCTACAAGGGATACTATCGCAATACCATCGTTTTTCTGTATTCTACTAACGACCATAACATGCCACGCTCCCGCAGTTTGATCTGCTCGTGACCTCACATCGATAGGGACGCCCGTATATAAACCCTCGACCCTCGGATTGGCGTCTCTTTTTTTTCTTCGTTTGACTTCGTGCGTGTCGTTCGTTGGGCCGGGACTCAGCCCCCTCCCCCTTTGGTGTTCATCCCCCGGTTGTACTCTAGACCTCCCGCTCTCTCCCTGGGGCTTGTTTCTTTTTGTGTCAGTGCTTTGCGAAAAGTATGTTCGCAGCTGTGAATATCGCCACTGATTTTTTTGTTTCCTGTACACCATTTTTTGTGCGTTGGGGGTTTTTTTTGTTTTTTATTGCACTGATAAAGAGATTTTTTTGTCCGCCTCTAGTGTCTGGCAAACCCGGTCAATACGGGTCAAACTATCTAGTCAGGGGCCTAACCACTCCAGATCAGAAGTTTCTGCATT